ATTTAAGTTGTTGTGTTTCCTGGTTGGCGCAATTATTTTATGTATAGGCTATATTTTAGCTCGAAAACGTCATCCAAAAGTAGGTTTCTATATCTATATTTATTTCTGTTTTTTTTTCATTTTAAAGGTATCTTATGATTTTATAGGGTCAAAACATTGTTATATTTAAATTACCTTTGATTATTTTGGATTTGTTTTTTGATATATTTTTTATAATCGTAAACGGTCATGATGTTCCATTCTTGTTTGTTCCCAGGTATAATTTAAATTTATGCTGCATCGGGTTATCTATCTTTATATTAATTTATTTATTTTATTGCTTTAAACTAAAAATTAGTTTAGTTATTGTAATCGTTTCAGTAATATTCAACTTTTGTTTATCAACTTTCTTACTTTTAAATGAGATTCGACTTAATGAAGATTTTCGAACTTGGTTTACTAAATATGAAAAGATTGCTTCAATATTTACATTAATTGCTAGTGCTGACGTTGCAACTCTTAATATTTTAACTTCAAGATTTGCTGGATTTAAATTCCTCTTTGCTACATTTTCTATAAAAGCTGAAAGATTGTTTTGTTATGGTGCTATAGTTAATTCATTAATTAAAGATATTCCACAACTAGTAATTCAGGTATGTTCTAAACAGTGTTTGAAATTAGTGTTCTCACAAAATCCATTAAACAAAGAAAACCCCCCGAGTTCTCACGAGAACACAAATTTTTGAGTGAGAACAGCTAAAAACTGAAATTTTAAAATAATTTTTTAAATTAGAGACCACTTAAAATTGATTCTAAAAATACAAAATAGAATGTGAGAACAGTAGCCCAGTCACAGATTTCAAACACTGATTCTAAATGATTATTTAATATTGCTCAACAATAATATTAACAATTTTTGTTAACAATATTTTTTTATTATAGATCATTTATTATAAACATGTTATTATATACTCGGTTATACCATTGTTTACATTAATTACATCTTCATTAGTTCTTACAATTAATTTATTGTCAAGCATCTATCGCTCTTGGATTATTTATAATCTTAATACAAATAATACAATAGAATTATAATTAATTAATTAATTATTTAGAATTATAATTAATTAATTATTATTATTTTATTTTTATTATTATTATTATTATTATCATAATCTTATGATTAGATTTTGATAATTTAGAATTTGTTAGAATTATTTTAAAGAAACAAATATAATAGTAATAAAATTGTTTTTAAAAAACTTAAAGATTAATCTTAAAGTTTAAAAAAAAATTAATCCTAATTACAATTCTAAAAATCAGCTCATATGAATTATTATTAATTATTATTAATTATTATTTTTTTTTTTTTTTTTTTTTTTAAGCAAAGCCAAGGTGAGGCCATGTTTCTATCTTTATTAATAGTTTAATTAA